TACCCGAAGACTGATCTCTGTTCATTGTAGTCTATGTGTCCCAAAATTTCTTTTATGATTGAAATGTGCTGATCAAATATGCTCAAGATTTTGGAATCAAAGAGGGATTTGATATTAACAGGGTGTTTACAGCATGGAACTAGCTTTAGTAAAATATTGTTCAAATTGTTTTGAAATTTCGTCTTTTTTTTTAGCTGAACAACAAGTTTTGCTAAGCAACATTCATGGCTGTGACGATTTGAATGTCTAGTTTCTTGTAATTTGGCAAATAGAAACAATCCTTCTTGCTGTGATTGTCTTAGAGAAAATTGAAAAGTACAAAAAAAAGAAAAGCTATTAGCAATTTGTGTGAAATTACAGTGAAATTATGCTTTTTCCATCTATCCAAGTTTCGCTATTTTCTCCCATTACATTTTAGTGTTCAATTTTGTTGGACTATAACTTGAAGGAAATCAATAATTTTGACAGCTAATAATTTGTATTTGGTTAGAATGAAGCACACTAAATTCCAGGTTTGGCTACAAAATGGTCATAAATTCAACAAATTCAGGTTTGTGGTTCTCCTAAGGCATATAGAAGGGTTTAATGAAAGTTTCACAATGTTAGATAATGTGCCACTGAAATAGCCATTCCACAAATCCATTTGAGGTTATTTGTCTAACTTATGTAACTGTTATCATCTGAAGGCTCTCAGTACATTCCAGCCCTTTTGGGAGTTATTGCATGGCAATTTGAGTTCGAGAATTTCTCAAAGATCTTTTCATTGTACAAGATCCCCATAATCACTGACATGATAATATTACACCCATTCCCCATCATGGAGAACATGGTGCAGAGTCTTATTGCTTTTTTTTTATTTCATAATTTCATTTCATCCATCTTTTTCTTTGATTTGTGCTGAAACATTTGGAAAAAATAGTTTTCATTCACAAAACATGGTGTATAAAGCATGAAATAAAAACAAATTCAATCTACAAAAAAGTTTGCTTCTGAGGACAGGGGGTACATTTTATGCCGGCTATATAACTTTGTGGCTTTAAGACATATTAAAGTTGTTTCACATTTTGAAGAAAAATGCTTAATGCCATTTTGGGGCAAAAAAAGCCTGTTTGGCAATTTCTTCTCATAAGATTTTATTTGGTTTGATCCCTGTTCCAATCACCTCATTGCTATTATCGTCCATCAGACAAGAATTTTTCCATTTCAATCTCAAACCCTCAACATCCTTCAAGATTCGATTTCCTACTCAAATCTACAAATCAAAGAAGAAACAAGGAGAATTTATTCATTGACTGTGATGTATATCTTTAATTCATGTCCCCAAAATGAAATAACAGAGTAAGAAATAACCACTCACACTGACCAACAAGTTTGTAATGTGCCGGATTCTGACTTTCTCGACTGGCACTGATGGAATTCTGGGATTTTATCCGATATCCGGCAAATTTATGAGATCGCTTTCTGTGTGATGGTCCAGTGATGTCCCAGCGATAAGAGAATCGTGGGATTAAAGCTTATGCCAGTGTGATCATTTTATTCCAGAACGGAGATATGGGAAATTTGGCTTTTATGGAGAACTCGTAATAAAGTCGAGTCTAACCCTCTCAGCATCAGATTGAGTTCTGATGAGAGATTGATCGTAACTTGGAAAACTTGTCCGCATAATTAGTCATGTGATTTGTCCTTTTCCAATCTCTACGTTTCATTTCAGTTTCACGAAATGCATTTTTCGTGGAAAAAGTATAAAATAAATCATGATCTATTTGGAATTATGTCAGTAAGGATTTATGGGTTATCATGGAAGTGAAATTTGGAATCCAAGATTTCAACAGTTCCTGTTTTTTGTTGTATTTAGTGTTTTGTTGGAACCCCTGAGCTGAGATTCTCGTGTTGGAGTTAATCAGGTAGATTTTCTAAATATTGAATGAGATTCAATGACTCTCCTGCTCTTTGAGAAATAACTGCATGCATCGTTGTTTCCAGGATTTCAGGTCTGGGGTAGAATTTAAAATCCATGGATCACAAATGATAGCTGAGACTTATAATTTGCATTTTATTAATTTATCAGTCAAAATACACAGAGCATTTCATAGTCCTATCTCTGTCACTTCAAACATGAAATAGAAATGAAAGGTCAAATGGAAATCCTTCAAATCAAATTCAGATTAAAATAATATTCACCTTCATTATATAGAAAAATGATAATATAAATTTTCTTAACATGAAGTTTGAAGCTACAATTAATCATCATTTCTAATCTCTACATTATCCAGCATGCCATTCATATCAATGGCTTGGACAATAGTTACTGTGGAATCTCAGATTAATCATACTTGTTTTTTAAACCAACTGTAGAATTATGTCTGATATCAAAGATTTAACCTTAGGAGGGAGGTTTCTTTGCTAACACCAACAGACAAACGGTCTTCATTTGCCTTTCATATCAGAATCAAACCTACTCTATTCTCAGTCATGACTATCAATATTTTGAGGGCAAATGAGATAAATCGGACCAAAGGGAGTGTGTTTTTACTAAATATTTGTGTGGTATCTCTGTAATCAGTGCTGGCGACATCAGTCATAGGCAACTCTCAGGCAGTTCTCTCATGATAGTGGTAGTTGCTGTAATGGTAGAGGTAGTTGTTGTAATGGTAGTGGTAGTTGCTGTAATGGTAGAGGTAGTTGTTGTAATGGTAGAGGTAGTTGCTGTAGTGGTAGAGGTAGTTGCTGTAGTGGTAGAGGTAGTCGCTGTAATGGTAGAGGTAGTTGCTTTAATGGTAGAGGTAGTTGCTGTAATGGTAGAGGTAGTTGCTTTAATGGTAGAGGTAGTTGCTGTAATGGTAGAGGTAATTGTTGTAATGGTAGAGGCAGTTGCTGTAATGGTAGTGGTAGTTGCTGTAATGGTAGTGGTAGTTGCTGTAATGGTAGTGGTTGTAATGGTAGAAGTAGTCGCTGTAATGGTAGAGGTAGCTGCTTTAATGGTAGAGGTAGTTGCTGTGATGGTAATTGCTGTTACGGTAGAGGTAGCCTCTTTAACATCAAAGTGAGGTCAACATTCTCATTGTGTTTGTGATACAAGTATTTCATACTGAAATCAATCAGTTGTGAGCAGCCAATCTACAAGGTTGCAAACTCCTTTGAAACAATAGTGATCTTTGAATGACCAGTGTTATCATTGAGATCTGACTGAATCGTACCAAAAACAGTCCTCAATGTAATTTGAGTATAACATCATGGTGAAATATGATTCAAGTAATGTTTGAACTAGCCCTGGTGTTAGTCATCCTGTGCAATGATTACTCGCTGTGGGACTTACATTTGTCACAGGATTCAATCTCTGCAACACAAATACTCCACTCTCTAGCAAATAATATATATCACTTGAATAATGCATTATGTTCAACTCGACACCACGCCTTCCTTTGATGATGGAATATTGAAACTGATGAAACAAATGCTCATGATGAACTCTGCTTTAAAGGTGACACTTAGCCCGGTCATGTTCCTTTGACCCAAGGAATGTCCAGGTAATGTCAAAGACAACAAACTCTATCAATCTCCCGCTATAATGTTATAGTACCAGACTGGCATTTCTCATTCTTTCTCACTTCCCAAGCATGTCTCCCTCGGACACATGGAGGTCTGGAGTTGTTGTTAGAAGACATGTTTCTTCTGTTTGATACTGTTTGCCATCCCAGACACAACTATCTAGATGTTATCTACCTCCCAGAACCTCAGTTGGACAGATTTATTGTCCCATTGTCATTTAATGCAGGCACTCAGACTGAGTTTTCCACTTGTAGTGATCTCTGGACTTTGTACTTACTAAATAGTTTGTTTCACTGATACCGTGGTCCTGATTTGGATAATTTTCAGATACCTGAAACACTGGTGATTGTGTCTTTGTGTGTTCAGAGATGTTTGTTTACATGCATAAATCTATATAAGATAATGATGAAGATAACAACGTGACATTAATGGATTGGATCCTGTGTTAAGAGATAATGGATTTTGGGTCTTGCCGTGTGTTTTGTTGATAGAAATATTGGATGTCAGGTTGATTTTTATGAAACTTTATTTCTATATAAACAATTTATAAAGTAGGTGTGTGTTTGAGTTTATCGTTTACACTGCAGTTAGCAGTGTTCTAGCTATTTCATGGCAGCCTGTAAATGGTTGAATCTGGACCAGACAAATCAGTGGTTGATATGACCTGTGACACATACCGTATATGACCGCGGATAAGCCGAGTTTTGAGGACCAGAAAAAAGATTCTGTAGAAAGGGGTCGGCTTATCCGCGGTCATATATGGTACTGATACATAAAACCATGAAGCCATTCGATATAGATAAAGAAATTAGATGTTTATATCATTTTGGGCCCTCTTTTGCCTTATACGCCCAATAGAATCTGTTTCGGCAGATAATCAAGACTGACTGTTTGGTGACTTTGACATTTTATAATGTGTAGGATTGTGCAGATAATTTTGACATTGAATGTAGGGACTGAGATTGTAGGGGCTACACACTGTTCTGTTAGCTTCCAGTGTTTTGAGTGATGTCTCAAGATATGCATTATTAAATAGACAGGCAATGAGTATGGTTATTGTGTCACAAAAAACAACTGAAATCACAACATACATTATTTAACAAATTGTATGAAGTTCTTATATATATTCAGATCCCACGTGAATTCCTTCATCACTATTTTTAATGATTCATAAACAAACGCCCATGATATAGCCGGAATCTAGACTCTACTACTACTACTTTTAGCAGAGATTTCTGCTGATTATGGAATGGGTTCTGACACTTTTATCTACAGTTGTACAGTGTGTCATGAGGAAAACACTATCAGTCCAAGCAACATATTAGAACTCAGTGTCAAATGAGAAAAGTGAATATATATGCATACCGTTGTCAGCCAACGTCCTGAAGCATGTCCCATATATGCTTCTGATCCTCGTCTGGTGAGTTAATGGTAATTTGTTTGTGTTTCAGTACTCACCGCTGATTCAAGACACAGTTCTGAGGGGAACATTTAATGCCACTCTCAACAACCCAGTCGTGCCCCAAGTGGAGCCGGTGCATCAAGGCAGTGCCGCCAAACATGCCTTCCTCCTCGGAGTTTAACTTTTCAGTGCAGCGTTGATTGGATCATTTAGGAGAAAGCTATTGTTAAGTTCACCGTTCCTCATCATAAGTTTAAATGAACTTTCTGTATCCTATTTATGAATAGGTAAATTGTAAATACAGGGCATTCAGGCTGTACGTATTTGACTAGTAGGTAATCAACGAAACAGTTATTGAACATGCTTAAGTGAGTTTAGGTAATGTACTTGAATTTAGAATAAGTTTTGTTCTAACATTGAAAAGTTTAGCAACAATGGCGTCAGTTTTCATTTTTGCATAATTCATTTTTGTACGCTTTTGGAGTCATCCATTAGAATTATTGCAAATTTTGTTATGCTGTCCAGTAACTTTATTTCGAAGCAGTTGTTAGGGAATCGTTTTTTTGATTTCATTGTTTGTACTATACCAACATTTGGAAATGCTCTTCCTATCATTCTAGTAATTAAAGTTATGCAAGTTCTAGTTTATGATGGAAAACGGACATTTTCATAATATTATCATTTCAGAAGTCTTTTGATCTTAAAGAGTGGTTTATAGTGTGATTTGAACATTTGAAATGATTTGATATTTTCAACATACATTTATACTGCTGAATGTCTGTATAAATTGTGTCATACGTCCAAACACCATCATCAAGGATTATTGTGTTAAGGTTCAGACTTTTAATGCACCAAACCAGTTGTTAACAAGACCAGTTGTTAAGAAACCTGTCTGTTAGGTGTTACATGTTTTATACACTTCCATTCTATACTTAAAGTATTATCATGTTATCGTTTTATTCAGTAATTTTATGAATTGTACTTCACCATCAGCATTCACCTGTCAGTATTGTCCATAAATGTCCATAAATGTCCATATGTGTCCATACGTGTCTATATTAGTATGGAGGTTTATAAAGAAATGTGCAGTTTTAATCAATAAAGCAACTCACATTGTCTGTGCTGTGATAATAAAACACCTCTTTATGATAATAAAGTTAGGAAAGTTATTGGCTATTTTGACCATACCATTATGTCTATATAGTGTACACATTGTTATCAGTAAATTAATTTATCATATCGGTGTCTTGGTTATGTTTTTAAATTACTTTTTGTCTCCCATTTGTCACTTATATATATATACATTAATCAAGTTAATTACCCCACATTTTAAGTTCAAAGGAAACTTGGTTAAATTCATTGCATGACACATTGTGGCAGAAAGTCATGGCCCTTGGTATTTTCTCTGCTAATGCCTTCTGTCTGTGAACTGGAAAACAGCCAAACACCTATCTATGTTAATTTGGGATGGTTTGCATGTTTGATCTTAATCATCAGTTCTATATGTGACATATGAGCAACTGACATGCAAAATTGTATTTCAGGAATGTGTAGTTACAATATGACACAGAGATTCTTTCCTGAAAGTGTGTCATGCAGATTTTATAAAATGTGCCACAAATTCGTAATTTTTGTAAAATCTATTTGATAGACACACAAATACATGTAGCCGCTTTTTCACCTGTTCTTGATAAATGGATCGTGAGATGAAACGGTATCATTAGTTAGAGAGAGAATCTAGCAATATTGATGTGACATCATTAATAACAGACTGTGACTTCACCATCTCTGAAATCTCATTATGTCACCTCATCAATGTCTGTATTACATCAACAATGGTGTGTGCGAAATCATTATTACACAATTATATATCCATTGTCTATTCAATGATGGTGGCATATAATTTTATCTTTTGTATGACAGATTCATTTTCCCCAAAATATTTCTTTGCCATTTTCAGTTTTCTTTGTATATACATGTATCTGCCGCATGGTTATCTACACAGTATGAATGTATTTCAGATTAAATATTCTGTCCTATATATTTTCATTGATATGAATATGTATACCCATAAGTCTTTAATCCTTTTCATTCCCCAATAACTCGACTCGTCCCTAGGATACCGTGGTCTGGTGGTGGAGCGTCTGGCCAGAGAGCGGATGGTCCGGGGTTCGATCCCCAGCCGTGTCCACAGGGCCACGGATAGCCATACTATACTGACTGTACTGATTACATTAAAAAAGATGTAATGTAATCAGTACAGTCAGTATAGTATGGCTATCCGTGGCCCTGTGGCCGTGTCATACCAAAAGATGTTAAAAGATGGTACTTGTTCTTACCCTATCTGGCGCTCGGCATTAAGGGGCTTAAACAAGGACTGGTCGGCTCGAAGTCAGTATACGGTTTCCGAGTGGGGTATTCGTGTTTAACTGCGGCATGGTATCTTATTGGGCTAGCACTATAAATCGGCATCAGTCCGGACTAGTACAAGCAGCCACACACCCTTGGAATCTGTTTTGGTGGATCATTGAGACTGGGTATTCTCTTGTGTTGACGTTTTATATCCACCAAAGTCATAAACGCCTACGACCAGCGTCACTTTGGGTTTTTCTCCCACATCGAGCTGACGCAGTGATATTACTGAAAATATTGTTCAATACTGTCTCACCACTGAGGCCTTTACCCAAACCAACATTATGGCTGGAACAAAATGTTTGAAACATAAAATATTACATCTATTTTGTCAGACAACGCAAGCTGAATCAATGGAAGTTAGCATGGAAATATTTCATAGAGGGAGTAATAAACCACATGTTGTAGTGATGTTGATGCAGTTGTAACTTGAACGTAATATTATGCTTATTTTTGAAGATGTTCAGTTTTGGGCGATTATGTTTTTCCCATGGGATGCAATGAAATATTGCCACGTTTTGTTTCTGTCGGTGTCATCAGCATTTCCGATTTGGGTTGTGAACTCCACATCCAGTTGTCCATAAAAGTAGGATTGGAATTGGCTTTTTAGCTGGAATGGATTTGGAATGAATAGAATGACACCCAAACACTGAGTTTGTTTTAAATAATAGATACACAGAGTGACTCAGGTTCCGTGTCAGTGATTATCGTTTTATCCCCTTGTCCTTTTGGGTCTCAAATTCTTCATTCTAACACTTCAAATTGCAACTTTCCTGACTAAATAATGTGACTCACTGAGCTAAATAATGTGAAGCAATATGCATGTCACGCATTTTGCAATAAATGGCCATTAAAAACTACCTTATGGCTTTTTATTTAGAAAAACAAAGAAATGTAGATTGCAAATGAAATTTACATTTGAGGCAAATGTAAGTTATGACTGAAAATGTTCTTATTTCAACTAGATTTATGCATAAGTTCAATGTTTTCATAAATGTGGCTTTAATATCATTCACATAAATGATTTTTTTATCTACACAAAAACATTAATGCATTTTTACTGTCACTATTGAGACAGATATCGTATTGGGTTTTTCACATTGTGAATTTTGCATGACTCAATTTGTATTATGCAGATATTTGTTTTTCTTTTAAGCTGGCTGTACAATTCAGGGTTCATGTTCCCTCCTTGATATTCAATATGTTCCGTTTGTCACAATGTTGCATATCAGGCTGGATTCCCAGCTCTTAATTCATATTTGCTTCCTATCGAACATCAGGGATACACAAACGGTTACAGCTGCCATTAATGAGATGGCAATTATGCCATGAAGCTAATCCGGTTACGTAGCTTATTGAACAAATTTGTCTTGACTAATTTGTGGGAAACTTTTCATCTGCTTTTCCAAAGAAACCTGTTTAGCCTCTGTATTGAGCTTATCAGTGTGGGGTGATGTAAGCCAGGCGGTTGTCCTTGCTGATGAGCCTCCTGTTATGCAGCCCAGGCCGACCCAGGCCGACCTCTGAACTCATGGTCACAAAAAGATGTCATGCTTTGATACGACCTCTAGACGTACTGGACATTTTGTATGTATGTGTGGAAGACATTTAACAATTACTCATCAAGGTTGGAGCTGAGTTATGAATGAATGAATGCCAAGAGTCAGATTCGGGTTGTGTGCACTGAGGGACACGCTGACATTGTATACTTCTAATGGAGTCCAGATGGAGTTTAGACAATAAGCCTGCTTGATTGATATGTTACATTATATGAAAGCTTTCCGACTTCTTGATGTTTCCATGTTTCTAGTATGTTCAATAGCATTCACCATATTGGAAAGGTTTGACTGGCATTTTCTATTACCATTATTGAACAGACATGGTGGGTACGGCTTGATGAAGCAAGGGATCTGGTTTCATACAGGACTCTTTACATTGATATTCGTATCATTATGGCATTTTGCAGGAATTTTGGCATTTAGGAGCATGATGTTAGGTATAGAACTAGCATCTCTGTATGTTGCTGACAGGAAGATGTTCTTGTATTAGGGACTTATAATCTATTATAGCAGAGACCATATATTATATGGTCTCTGATTATAGTTAGAGGGGGGCACTTAAGGGGAGCGTTATGAAAAAATGACAGCGAAAGAGGGGGGAATGGCCAAAGTGGGTGATAAAAATTACAGTCTTAGTTTTTTTAATAAAAAAATATAAATATAACTATCATTATTTAGGGACTGATCAATTTATTATGCTTATTGGGGTGGGGTGGGGTGGGGTGGGGAGGGGTGGGGGCAGCTATTAGAGGCGGCATGAACATACAAGAATCAAGAATATTTTATTGTACAAAAACGCCTACCGGTACTTGGGACCTGGTACAAAAATAGAGTATTTATATGGTACAGAGATGAGAACATGATATATATACACGACATAGATGCATAAAAACATGATGGAATTGGAAATACAGGTGATAGAACCCTATCCATATATATGATTTTTACAAGTTTTTAAAGTTGTAGGCAACGTTCATCAGGGTATTAAACAGAGATTTTATTTATCATCCAACATCATTCTTCCAACTCTTTCAGTTTGTCCCCTGACCCTCTGTAATAAATTTCCTGTCCCTTGGATGCTTTCAGAACAGAATGTACAACAAATGTATACACGAAACGATTTACTTAACTAGGCTAAATAAATTTGCCTTCATCTGTCATTAAAGAGAATGGTTCAATATATATGAAACAGTAAACTCAATAAAATACATAACACACTTGGTAATTTTGACATTGGAAAGAAAAGTTTTCTTTCACTTAAGGTTGTAAAGAAATCAATGTTGCTATACTTCAGCGTGTGCAACTTGCCGAGAATGTTGGCTTCTGATCGTAGTGGGATGGGTTGCACTGGCTGCTCTCGTCGTCATGTCAAGTATCTCATCACATGTCCCTGGCATCTTGATTGCTGCTGGGATGCTACTCGACTGTGATGATGATAGTGACTACACACACCATGAAGCCAGGAGGGTAGAGTGCGAGGCGACTAATGGGATCGGGTGGTCATGTTCGCTGACTTGGTTGATGCATGTCATCGTGTCCCAATTGCGCAGAACAATGCTCATGATGTCAATCACTGGATTGCCTGGTCCAGACTTGATTATTTACAGACTTCGTCATACAGCTGGAATATTGCTGAGTGTGGCGTTAAACAACAAACAAACATAGTGCCAGGTTGATTCCTATCATGATACGTTATTCTGAGGCTTAATTATGATAACCTCTGTTGTAATATGGAGGAAATAATTCACAGGAAACCCGACATTCATCACTCCTATGATAGCAATTAAATGAAGAACTGGATATGGATAATTAGTCATTTCTTGACAATGTAATACCTACAATAGTCACAATTGATCTGAAATAGCTCTATTACAACTCGCCTGAAGCTTTAGACATGTGATATCGTCATCAAAGCGGCTATAACTGACATTTCCATATTTGACAAATTTATCCTCAAACTACTGAAATAAATCCAGGATGAGGGATATTGCCATATTTATCCCAGCTCTGTATCCCACCATTGTTAGCAGTACGCATCACTGTGCCAGATGCCCCAGCATTAGGCATGTAATGAAGTTCAAAGTATCACAGAACGGTAGGAAATCCAAGAGGAAGATTTACCTCTCTCTAAAGTCTCATTTAATTTGCATGCCATCAGCGTCAATTAAAATGTTGTCCCTGTGAAGCAATTCAGGGAAGCTGGTAATTTAGTACTAGCATGGTGGAGTGGCGAGAGGCACCACGGACACCAGCAGCACCAAATTTGAA